CCCCAAAACCCCAAAACCCCAAAACCCCCTGAAAGAATTATATCATTTTGAATTGTATAAGTGTAATATTTTATCAAATTAGTTTCATTAGCTGAGTTAACAAGATCTTAAAGTTGCTTTATATAGAGTCAATAAATGGTCAGTCGTCATAAATGACTTTACCTTTTGTTTTGATGATTATTACCAGTACTACTTATTGTATTATATTATGATTTCCTACTTTCCTTAAGTTATTAGCTCCTCTCAGCGAAGTCATCTTCATAATCATCGTTTGCCTTCACACTCTTATGATGATTTGAAGTTTGTTTGATAAAAATATTCAATTTCTTTTAGTTTATCTTTACCTCCTTAATTCTCTCCTACTCTACTGTTTTATGTTTCTTGACATCTATTTTAAACTCCTCACACTTTGCTTTAGCCCTCTCTAGTAAGTCCTTTAATTTCTGCACCTACTCTCTTTAGTCTTGCAACTATTCTTTATATTCGAAGACTTCCTCATCTAAAGTTTCTTTCAGTGAACTTACTTCTATTCTAAGTTCCATACGCTCCATGTCTTTCTTGAAAAGCTCAGATTCCTTAGCATCTTTAGTAATTAGCCTCTCTTGATTAGTTTTAAGAATTTCAACTCTTATAGTATTTATATTTCTTCCGAGTTCAGTAGACCTACCCTCATTGAATTCAATCTTTTATACTAAATTATTGTTTACAGATTAAAGATTTTGATTTTCTTCATTTAGAGTTCTAATTTATTTCTTTAGCTATTGCTGTAACTTTTCCTGAGATTTTTTATATAGCATCGCTTCTTAGACTACTTCAACTTGGTTATTTACTACTGACTTGAATTGATTGGTAACTTTATGTTTAGGTGGCGAGGTATGGAATGAGTCTTTATTATCATCACTAATATCAATCTACCCGTATTGAACCCTATGCGCTTATTTGCTATAGTTACCACTGCCCAAGCTCTTTTTACTATTGCTATTTGATAACTCTCCATTTCTACTGGCATTTTTAGGCTTTGCATTTTATGAATCTAGAAAACTGAATATTTCAGGATTATAAGTAATATTTGGCTAAGTTTTATTGATTATCATAGGCTGTTCGAGACTTTTGTTATAGTTTTGAGATTTTTAATAGGACCTTTGACTGTTTTATCTACTATCTTATGAAAGCACTCTCGAACTCTTTGATGTGCTTCTGCTTAAATTTTTACTTTCATTTTATTAGTCTTAAGCCTTTTGATACTAAAAAGGCATGAAGTTTTAGAAGTTGAGATTTATTGAGTTAGGACTTAGCTAAGTTGCAGTTTAATCTTAATCAAGCATGAACTTAGATTTAGGTGTGTAGTAATCTTAGACCTAAGTTAGAACTACTTTCTTAGAGAGATAGTTTCTATATTATGGAGATGTCTCTCTATCTGAAAGATTTCCATTAAATTCTTCTACATCTTCAATATCATAATTTGAACTTATAGTTTAGGTTATTATTTAGTTGCAGCTTTCGTCGTTGTTATCATACTACTTTTAAATATTTGATATATGCTGTATCTTTTTTTGATTACTTCTTAAATCTTCAGCAGATAATACAACTAGATTGTTCTTAGGGGAAGTATTGGTATTTACTGCTCTCTACAAATTCTAGGTTGTTTTGCTTTTTAAATTTTAGTTGCAAAAGTTATTCAACGCTTGAGTTATGTTTTAGAAGTTGTTTCTTGCATTTGAGTGTCTTTTATTTTGAAACATCTTAGTAGAGAGGACTTCACCTTCAATCTGGTTTGAGTCATTTGCTTTTAAGTTTATTGATTTTTATCTCTATCTGTTATTTCTATCTTGAATTGCTTATTATTTAGAGTTAGAAGTAACATTTTTTAATTAGTCTTTTTACTAGTTGTTATATTTGACTTACGGCTGATTCTCCTTTTATTTTTTGTTACTTTTATTAATGTCACTTTATGATACAGCCATTTTTGCAGGTTATATGCCTTAAGAATGCTTTTAATGGGCTTAGTCCATTTTAAGAATCTATCTACTCTTCATTCTAGCTTTTTAAAGCTCATTATCAATTGTGTCAGCAGTTGAAACACTTATCTTCTATGATTGATTAAAAGACTCTTTTTAAGTAAACTAAGTAGTATTAGCAGTAGCCAAAAATACAGTTACTTAAGTTGATTAAGATTAACCCATGCTCTGCAAACTGATATTGGTTTAACTGCTTTAGAGTTGTTATGATGATTAAGTATTATTTGATTTAGAATTACTCATATACTCAAAAAGATTGATAGATTTTACCTCAACCCCTACTAGAGGCTTTACTTTTTTATTAGATTAATTCAGATTATTTTTGCAACTTTTATCCAGCTAGAGGCTTTGTCTTTTTTCACAACTACTTGTGCGGGAGGCATTTTCAAGTGATTGATTTCTCTAATTTCTCATTTTCGATAATTTTATATTTTAAAGCTAACTCCTAATTAACTGAAATCAATAATTATATATTTTTCGGGGTTTTGGGGTTTTGGGGTTTTGGGG